AGACAAGGAGAAAGAAAGCAATCAGTCAGTACTTGGAATCAAGCTTTCAGTCAGGAACTGACTGCCTGGAACCCCTTGCCTGATTACTTACCTGGCATTACTCCCGAGTACTCATCTTCAACATCTTATGCTTCCAGAGAAGATACCACATTTGCCTGAGGAATAGATAGGGCAAGTGAGAAGGATACAAGGAAGCATGTGGAGACAAGCGTAACAGAACACGTGCTGATACCTCCATTACTTTGTCAACAACAAAAGTATCCCATATCATTAGGGTTGAACGTACTCTAGATTTGATGGACTTATTTTGACCCTCAAATTCTTGAGTCGGCCTTATACTCTGAAGGAAACCAAAAAACCCTACAGCCCAGTTCAAGAATAAGCCTGTGGAAAGTTACTTCTTCAAAAGCAAAAGTATCTCATATCATCTCTTCTCCATTTGCTTCTCCTTATCCTTGTTGTTGTTTACGACACAAGGAGAAGAAGAACAATCAACCGGAAGCCGAAGTCGAACCTCCGATCCAGGTTGCTTGCTTGGAAGTCTAATTGCTTACCTTGTCTGTTACCTCCTTCGGCAAATCTCCTAGCTTGGCGACTTGGGGGACTCCTACTATAGGGTTTGTATCGCACTTGACCAAGCCCGAAACTACAAGTAAGCTTCAAGTGAAATTGATACATTACCTTGTGCATCTTCATCGGTTAAAGATACCACCCCTGGATGAAGGAAAAGTACTTCCAGAGAAGAAGCCACATCTACATATGAGACAGATAAGGCAAGTGAAAATGATATCACACTTCGGTACTTAGAAGTTTCGTGATTGCTCAATAGCTTGGATCTTGCAAGTCCCCAACCGAGGAGCTTCCCTCACTCGGGAACTTAGGGGAGTACTGTTTGTACCATACTTGACCAATCCTGAAACTATTGAGCAGCGGTCAACGTTGTATCGTCAAGGACCCAGAAGAGTTTCCCTCTAACCAGGAGGCCAATCACAACGCGACACATGTCGACATCAGAAGCCAATCATAGCGCAACACGTGTCAACATCAAAAGTCAATCACAACACGACACGTGTCAATGTCATAATGAAACTAGAAACTCTCTTCTATAAATAGAGATCATTCTCTCACAATATTTCCGAATGTCATTTGTACTAAATCATTCACTTGTACTCACTAAATGAGAGCTTAAACCTATGTACTTGTGTAAACCCTTCACAATTAATGAGAACTCCTCTACTCCGTGGACGTAGCCAATCTGGGTGAACCATGTACATCTTGTGTTTGCTTCCCTGTCTCTATCCATTTACATACTTATCCACACTAGTGACCGGAGCAATCTAGCGAAGGTCACAAACTTAACATTTTCTATTGTACCAAAGTCCTCACTGATTTTGTGCATCAACAGAGGGAATATTTCGTTAATCTTCCAATTGATTTTTAACAAAATATTCCATTTGAGAATAGAATATTCTGTTAAAGTTAACTGTTGACCATTAGTTGACTTTTTTGATATTTTCTCGGAAACCCTCCTAGGCTAATTTCGATGCCCCGAGTCCGATTTTGACATCCATTATGTGAAATTCCGAAGTTTTAACGTAGTTGACTGGCTCGGCGTCTTGGTTTACTTTTTAGGGTTGACCATTGACTTTTCGTTGACTTTTTATGAAAATTGCTCGGGACCCTTTTTAGCGTATGTTGACGCCTTAGTTCCAAATCCACACTCCATTTTCCCAAATTTAATCGTTTTAATTGAGTTTTACTAATCGGTCCCAATATTATGTTTATGTGCGATTGCTATTGTAGAATCCGACTTTTCTAGTTCGAACGGCTGCTCCTCGCAAGTATCTGTGAGTGGGTTTTTTCTTTTATATGGTATTTATACTCGTGGAGTTTCCCCATATATATAATTATTAATGAATTTTCTACATGATGCCATAATTAAATTAACGTTTGTAAGAAATGTTGTATTGTTGAGATTTATGAAATTATGCTAAATTCTACAAGATGCACAGGTAGGTGAACTATTATGAGATTTCATTTACGGCTATGATTAATATTTTATGAAATAGTATTATGTTGACTAGAATTATCGATTTATAGTTGTATGATCATATTTAAGTTATCTGCTCATTGTGTGCTACACTGGTGTTAGTACTTGCCCGGGCCAGGGCCAATTTTTCACGTGTATGTTCACATCGCACCGTACGCTCACTTTGGATCCATTGTAGGTGCTAGTTCTGTCTTAGATTGCTATAGGCAATTAGGACTCGTATGTGATGCACATAGCACCTGTCTTCACGTGATTGTAGTACTAGAGCGTAAATCATTATTTCAACAAATCCTATTCATGTCTGAAGATCTCTGCATGAACTATGTGTCAGCATATGTCGATGAGCACTCGATATAATATGTTCGTTTATTAGAGATATTGTGATTACCGGATGTTGAGCATTTATTTACGAAATATTATGAAGTATTACGTTCTCGATGATATTACTTTTTATGATAAGTATTTTCATACTATACGTATTATGCTATAGGAAATTATATTTGTTTTACAGCGAATGGTTATTATGTTTTGAAAAGGTTTTACAAAGCTTTATTTTTAGGCTCACTCACCTTTGTTTTTTGCCCCTTCAAGTTTTAGTAGCAGACCTTTCGTGTCAACGAGGATTCTTGGTAAATCTTGGTATTCGAGATAACCTTTGGTGGTACAATTCTCATTCTACTTTTACTGTACTTTACTTATACTTTGACATCACGTGCGAAATGAGTTCATTCCCGTTCACAAGCGCACTCGTGCATTTAGACACTTTTAGGTTTAAATTTACTCACATTTTCTACATCAGTACACTTTATGGCTTCATCACCCTCCTGGTGTTGGCCATCACAGCTCGATTTAGAGTCCAAGTAAATATTTCGAGGTGTGTTAACCCACTCTTCTTTCTTTTTAGTGTAAATAATAACGTATTAAAAAAAAATCATTCGAGTAAGAGTTACTGGCTAAGCAATGATCCAATTTTGAGCATAAACAAATCTAATTATTAAATTCATAGTGACAAACAAAAACATGCAATTATACTATTTTCTTGGAGAAAAAGTGGTCACTGCCAGCAATGCAATCTTTTTCATTAATTTTATTTTTTTTCAACGAGGTCATTAATCATAATTTGGTCGTCCTATTTTTTTTTTTTTTTTTAACAACAATATTATCTGAAAGTGGAGGTAGACTAAGTCTCACAATGAGTTAGTAATTTACACTAAGGTGGAGGAGGTAGGCGAGCCTCACAATGAGCTACCAATAATGTGGTTCAAATGAAGATAAATATCATTAGACTATAATACTAAGTGAATCATTGGCCTTCCTTGAATATGATTTAAAATTGTTGCTTCTGTTTTGTAGTTAAGACATATTTAAAAGGTGGGTCACTGACTCAATTGGGTCTGTGTAGTGGTTCATTAACAGCCCAAGCCTCTCAAAGAAGCCCATACTTTCCTGAATTGGGTTGGTCTTATAGAAACAAAAACTTATACGATCATTTGGAGCAAATAGTTTTTTATTTTTTCTTTCTTTTTAAAAATGGATTAGCTGGTGACTTGCCATGGCAGTATACTTTTTTGGGGGTTGGAAAAACTTACAGAGATATTTCAGCCTCCTTCTGGCCACCATTGTTTGATTCACCAGTGCCAGGAATCGAACCCAAGATGTGTTATGTGGAATACGGGCTTAAAATTCATTTGGAGCAAATAGTTGACACTCCAAGAGATTTTTCTACTGAACACTTAAGTTACAGATTTAATAAGAATCGTTAGATCATTACACCAAACGGGATCTAATGGCTCTTGTTCAGATTTATAACTTAAATATGTACTTTTGTTATGCTCTATAGAACACACTACTCTTCTTTCTCTCACACATATTCAACATTCTCTTAAGGGAGTTTTAACAAAACATTTCCGGTACTGTTCATTTATAACGAAAAACCACATTTATACTTTTCACTGGTACTATTCACTATATCTTTAAAGAGGGCATTTCATTATAAAGGAAGTTTTTTTGGACTTTTCGTTAGTTTTCATTTCTCTTAAAGCTTCGCTCACCCGAGCACTTGAATTGTGTAAATGGTTTGTGTAGGACCTGGATAGATAGTATATTAATAGCGTATCCCTACCATGTTGATAGTATATAAATAGGGTATCGTCATTATACTGGAGATACATTGTATGGGCATGTTCACAACCTAGGCGTCTAGATGAGCATTTCTACGTTCTCTTATACAAATCTTTTTTTAACACAAGATTTAACTTAATTATTTCAATTGAATTGAATAATAGTTCGACTTTCTAGAGTGAACTAGTATGATTAAACGGAGTCATATTTTTCGTCCTCTGAACTCACTATCCTTCTACTTAAAAACATTTATATAACATTAACCATGACCTAACCTCTTTAGTATTTAGACTATCTTTCAAGTATGTGTATCTTGGCAAATTCAAAATATCCTTTATGATTAGGGTAAATTATAGTTTGCACCCTTAAATTTGGGTGCAATTACAACTTCATACCTCAAATTTAAAACATTGCAATGTCATATATAAACTTACAAATTCATGATCTAATAGGTTTATGAGTCCTCCTGGTCGAAGTAGTTAATATCCAAATGGCTCACATGTCAAACCCTTTTAAATTGGACTTATATATTATCTCGGTTTTGCCTAAACAATATAACTAATTAGGTGAAAAGAGAGACAAACATATAGTTGCACACAACTTGTGGCATCCAAGAATCTCAAAATTTAGCATATTTGCTCTTTCATTTCAATGACAAGAAAATAAGGCAATTCAAGCAAAAGAGAGATTATTTTGTTTTGAGCTTTGACAAAAAGAGACCTCAAACGTGGATTTCAGATAGGGAACCAACCAATCAAAATGGTTTAATCTGCCACGTGTCAGGCTCTCCCAATGAACTGAGGAAGTAATACAACCCTCAGAGATAACGAACCAACCAACACCCAACACTTCGAGAGAAACAAAACCATTGCAAGCAACCGAAGCAATCAACCAAGGCTACCAAGTCAAGCAGCTGACGATACGACTCAATTCTAATGGCAGCGACAGCCTCATCCATGGCGGCCACCACCGTCTTCATACCACGCTTTCCCATCAAACCCACCCGCTGCTCCGCTTTGCCTTACCTCCCTCCTCGCCTCTCCTCCCCTTCTTCCTTCCCTCTTAAATCCTTCTCAGGTGAGCTACTTCTCAAGCTTGTATTTTTAAGTTTATTTCTTAACAAATTATGTTGTTTTTTTTGTGGTTTTTATGTGTGTTCTTTTACTTGCTTTTTTGGGTTGCTGAGAAAATGTGGGTGGGAGGGAAATTTTTTTGTGCTTTTTTATTTATTTTGGTTAAGTTGTTATGTGGATCTCAATGGAATTATCTGCCAGTTGCAGTTGACTTGTGTATATCAAGTATTTTCCCTGCGTTTAGTTGTTAATGGTTTTGTGAATTGAAGTAATTCATGAACGAAGAATTTTGTTCTGTTGTTTTCCTGCATTTCTCAAGCTAATAGATGTAGAGGAAAGGTAAGGTTCTGGTTCTTAAAGCAGAGGTTTTGAACCTTGCTGTTTTGATATTTTGAAAGTCGGGTGTTGATTGAGACGAAGATTACTGTACTGCATTCCTGTGCTAATATACGTCATAGACGGGAAATTAAGGTATGCAAGTTACGAGAAGGAATGGATGTATCTTAGTTGGTTAAGTTGGATCATTGCGGTAGTAACTTCTTACCTTAGAATGGGGCTCCAAGATTCCGACTTTAGTTTCATTTGGAACTAGTCTCAGTAAATTTTACGGGTGGGAATGACGAGTGTCAGAGTTTTTGGATTTTAACAGGTATTTATGTATCTAAGCATTTAGGCTTATAGCTAATTTGGTGCATTGACTGCATTCCAAGTAAATGAACTTAAAAGCGCTGTTTTTTGCTTCCATGCTCCAATTCCACTTCAAAACCTTTCATAGCCTTGATCGGTTAATTGGTAAGAGAAGGGAACCTTAGTGCTCAAACTGTGTAGGCAAATAACACGGTCACAGCCAAGTTGACATGTCAGGTTTCTTTGAGAGTTGTTGATATAGGTGGTGGGACTCAACTCAGGTACGCCATTCTGTGAAAAGGCAACAGTCATAGAGTAGAGTAGGAATTGGCCAATCTCATATATTGCTCAAAATTTGCTCCAACTCTGGAGCACATATATGCAATCCAAGACACGCAAACGAAGATGATATTTAAAAGACTTTTGGGGTGTGAATTTTTCTCTTTTTGGTTTGGCAGAACGTTTGAAAGATAAAAATCATTGCATAAGCTTAAGAGCAGACCATTGTTATCCTTAGTTTTTCTATTACTTAATTGGTTTCACTGTCTATTGGAAACTGAGTTTGATTTCTTATTTTTTAATTTGTCTCTTTATATAAACCGTTAAGAATGTATTAACTATAAGCTTAAGCAAAGATTGTTTTTCTTTCAAAGGGTCCCGGAGGCTTTCTCTTCAGGTCAGAGCTTCATCTTCAGAAGAGACATCCACATCCGTCGACACTGATGAACTTATATCAGACTTGAAGGCGAAGGTATGAAAAGCTTTTTGTTCCCCTTTGTGTTGAATCTTATGACAATCATGTCTATGTTTCTTCTGCTTACTGCTATTTTGTTACGACTTTGCTTGCTGAAGTGAATCCAATAGTTGGTTTAAAAACAATTTCCTGTATGTTCTCCTTCCCAGTGGGATGCAGTTGAAAACAAGTCTACAGTACTTGTATATGGAGGTGGGGCGATAGTCGCAGTGTGGTTGTCCTCAATAGTTGTTGGTGCCGTCAATTCAGTGCCACTTGTAAGTGATTTCTTCGGAAACCACATACCTCTAGGTTTTTCAGTTTTGAAATGGAAAGTGATGAATCTATTTTTCAAGTTACAACTTTGTCCGTGTCGTTGAATTATGTCCTCTTTAGAAATTAATTGAACCACTCTGAATTGACTTTCAGCTTCCAAAGGTCCTGGAGTTGGTAGGGCTAGGATACACAGGATGGTTTGTCTACCGTTACCTACTCTTCAAGGTGAGTCTAAAATTCCTGACTTAAAGTTGAGTTATCGCTGTTTTCTTCAAGCACGATGCATTCCTTTACAAGAAATAAGATCTGTTTTCCGTTTCATATTCGCCCCCTTAATAGGATCTCGTATACACTGGATGATCACGTCATTCACGCACTGCCCCCGTCCATCCATCAATGATTTTAATGGCTATAACACCATATTTGCTTCCTGTATCTGCGCACTCGATAATTCTAACAAGTGCAATTTGTGTTTGGTATCACCCTCAGTCCAGCAGAAAAGAACTAGCTACAGACATTGAGGCACTGAAGAAGAAGATTGCCGGGACTGAATAGATCCGTATGACGCGGTGGCATTTGTATCCTGTAATCTAAAATAGGTTTTTATTTGAACTATTGTTGTAGTTATGTTAATGTACTCCCGTCCTTCAGCTTCATCTTTGGAATAAGATTTGGCAATTTTATGTCAGTTGGTCCATCGGAATCGGCTCTTACACTTTTAACCATATCCGAAACCATAACCGAATAATATTTCCAAAATCATATCCGAAACCATATGTATTTTATTGGGGTTAGATACGAATCGAGGACCCCTATAACGATATCTAGAACCATAACCGAATAATATTCCCAGTTTTTTCCCATATCTTAAATATAACCAAATTTTCATCCCAAATTTGTTCCATGCTAGCAGTTATCCATGGTTATCGAGTTTAACGGTTTGAATTATCATCCCCACACATCCCCACACAACCACTAAAGCGCCACCATACCATAATTTGGATTACTTTTGGACTTCGCCTAATTTGGATACCTTAAATACATGATAATCACGATTAATAGAGGATGGAGAAATAAATAGTTGTGATCATGTTTAAGCCCCCAACAGGAGAGCGCTAAATGGTGGCTAGTTATTACAATGCCTTGTCCAAGTTAGGACAAGGATGGTAAAAAGCAAACACATAAAAGCAAAACGAAAATAAAACTTGTGCTTCGACAATCAGCTTGACAGATAAGTCACTGTTTGATGGTAAGCTCCGCTCTAAGATGGAGGACGCCGTTTATGAAGAAAGGACTATCATCGGCCATGAAGGAAGTCCATGGTATGGCGAATAAGTTACGGTAGCCAACTGCCTTGCCCCCGGTAAATGTGTAGTTGCCTTTGTATTTGCTAATGAATTCCTCAGTTGGCTTTGATCTCGCCGCAAATTCGTAGTCCACTGCAAAACTCACTGACCCTTTTTCCTGCATCCCCAAAAACAGGCCAAAACAATGGAAAGAACTCTGCTGGTCCATGTTGCAATGCGCAGAGAGGAAGAACCCTTGCCCGCCCAAGTGAAATGCCTGAGAATAAACCCGTCCGGATGGGAATAAATTTGCACACTCTTCCCGCTTCAAGTCCAGGTACACCACACACTGCTGTCTCGGAAGATCAAATTCTACCACCTTAACAGGGCGATACTTGTATGCCCGCTCCACAAACCGACGATTCAAAGTACCAGACTCCTCTGCTGCAAGAATTCGCTGCCTGTGTGGAGCCTCAGCCTTGAAGAAAAGGGCCTCAAGGACAAGCTTGGATGCAGCTTCATGGTCAAAATCATTACAGGTTAAGACCTTTTTCAGCTTTCGACAAGTCATGTATGGGAAGCGAATGTAGCGTGCAAGACGAGCACCCAAGATATCTCGCCTTTCCTCCAACTTAGGGTAGTGAGTCCTACACCATTTCAACACAAAGTCATATACAGCATCCTCTGATGCAACCTGGAGTTCATCACTGGATATAATTGCCTCTATTCCAGCTAGGGGTAAGGCCATCACCTCTTCGAAAAACCTGGTTGAAAGAACCAACTGTCAAAAATATATCTCCTAAATTTCAAACAACTTTAATGAACAAGAACTTAGTCAGATCAAGTTCAAATACGAGTCACACAGAAATTTACTTGCTTATGTCCTTGTAACGGACAGCGAGGTACTGCTTTGCTGCATCAGTCAATGCCAGGACTGCTTCAGCCATTAAGACACTTGAAGGAAGCTCTAGGTAAAGCAATGCAGATTCAGGTGTCATGGGCATATTCCTCAGTAGCCGACTGCAATACCTCATGCATGAAGCAACCTCAAATTTGTCAGCAGCCATCAACACATCTAGTAGAGCAGGAGCTGTGGTGGTGGATAAGGTATTGCTGTACATAAAATTTAGGAGCTCCATGACAGCAGCTTCTTCTGCACTCAGGGAAACAAAACGACACATGTCAGGTAACTTCTTCACGATCAACTCGTAAAGTAGTAGTTTCCATGGAAGGAAACATTTCGGGGACAGTAAGCTTCTAATATTTGTTCTTACCGGACGCACTGATTCGCAAGGTTACGTGTCGCTGTTCAGACTCCCTCATCCCATTTGAAAAGAGCTGCATAATAATACAAAAGGAGGGCAATGAGAAAAACCATCCACTGACGATAACGAGCAAATAAACAGGAACAGATAAAACCAAAGGACAATTACCTTATAGAAAAATGGACTCTTGGCTGCCAAAATTGGAGAGCTAATGTGCAATGTTTTAACTCTCACAACTGTAGAACAATCCATTCCCCAATCTGAATCATTGCTGTTTGCAGCTTCATCCCCTATAAGAATATTCATTCAAGCTTAGAACGCTTAAAACATGACACCACTAGAATTACAAAGCAGATCTCTTAATATGGCCGCAAACATGACTCACAGCAAGACAAGGATATGACATAATGAAATTATAAGCGCTCATTCGATAGTATCAGGGTTTCACCTCAGATAATATTATTCTCATAAATTTACGCATTCTCGCTCAGAATCCTTAGAGATGCAATAGATACAAAAGAATTATGTCGAAGCCATTATTATTTTATTCATACGACTTTCTTTAGAGCTTAAGGACACAGAGAAATGTGCATATGGGAGATCCTACTCAATTAAGCCCGTATTCTTATGTGCTTTACAAACTTCACTTAAGAAACATTTGGTTACCTGAAGGTGATTCTTCAACCATTGCAACTGCTTCCTCATCTTGATTTTCACAGCCCTCACAATCATCCATATCAGGCTGGTTGTCATTCAAGATTTGCTCCTCGGGGCATTCAGCGAGATCCAGAACTAAACAAAATTTAAAACTTTAACCAACACTGCCATAACACCACATCATGTGCATAAACACAATGCATGGGAAGTGAGAATCATGCAGGTGATGAAGAATATCCAGATAACAGAAACCACAATCCCAAACAATCAAAGGGAAAAACAAACCAACTGGGAAACGGAAATTATGCCTTCTTCTTGTCCACAAATCACAATCGAATAATACATGAAAATGCCGAGTTGAATACATGTCGGCCAAAAAAGTGTTGAAGAAATCAATTATAAATTAAAAATTGAAGTCCCAGGTCAAACCAAGTAAGTCTTATGCAGTCATATGGCTCCGTAAAGTCAAATACTTTGATTTCTTATGAGGCGTACAATATACGAAGTATCACCCGAATTTCATATGAAATTCTCCTTCTTCCATTTCATTTCCACAATTTTCTCAGCAACCAATGTACGCCTACTACCGCTCAAGTAATAATCTCAATCAAAAGTTGCCCCCAAATATTTGCATTTGAAATTTAAGCACAATTATTAAGGAATAACCAATATCAATATCATAATAATAATTTCACTTCTATGATAAATAAACACCATATTACTAAGCCTTTCAGCTGAACAAGCAACAAACAGTTTCAAAGTAATCCGCAATTCGAAATCCTAAAACCCCAAATGTTCAAACTTTCCCTAATTTCTCAGAAACCAAACAAAACCCATCAAAATTCAAAACTCAAACTGAAAAATACAAAGAGAACATACTGTTTTCCTTCTTGATGTCTTCTCTCCTCCGCTTCCGGTGACGGGCCCAATCAGCGATACTGGTGCAGGCCTCGGAATCGGGTCTGGACTCGGGTGTGTCACCCATGATCTCCATCCGAAGCAGACGGTCGGAGAAGTTACTATCGTTAAAGGCGAAGCCGAAATCGTCGCCGTCAGCGTCGGCGGACGGCGTCACGGCCCGCGAGAAGTCGGGTTCCATCAGCGTAGTTCTCGGGTCGAATAGATCCGTATTCAATTCCTTCATGATTCAACCCCCAAGAGCTAAAACCCCACAGAAGAAGACGACCCGAAGAGGGTCTGAGGTGGCAGAATCTGGGAGAAGGTAGGACGGAGTTTGGGTGGTGGCGGTGGGTGAAAGGGAAGAGGGGGAGCAGAGAAATGGAATGAAGGAGAAATGATGAGGAGGAGATGAGGAGGGAGAGGGTCATAAAGTCGTGACTCGTGATAATAAAACTGAAGCGGAAGACGACCCTTCTCTCTCTCTTCTTTCTCTCTCTTCAAACTTTCTCTGTGTTTCTCTCTCTCTCTCTCTTAACCTTCTTTTGTGTGCTGCTTTGGTTTTGTTTGTTACTGTTTACTGAAATTTCTGCCATTTGGGTTGGTGCATCTGACTTGGATTTTATTGTGCAGTTTTTGTTAACCTTTTTTAGCTAATTAATAGCAATTAGCAAGGTAAACATATGTAATTAGGGGTTGTGACAGGTCAATTAGGGTGGCCATATATGCTAATGTGTAAAATATTTACTCATTCAAAAGCTTATCCCAATTTTTGGGTATTTTCATATCCTTCACTACCTTATTTGTTGAGTACTATTCCACTTTAAACTTTGTTTCTTACATACATGCTTAATAACAAATTGGGTTTCTTTGGATTCGTTTCACAAGGGTAAAATTCTAGTAAGACCAAACTTAACGAGTGAATATGCGTAAACTAAATCATATCATTGAATGAAGTTAAAAGAGTTGGTAATATATGGACAGATTTGTATCGTGATAACGAGTGGTGCAGAATAGGTTGTGGTGCGTAACTTTGTTGTTTGTAATTTGGATAATAAACGTACTTTTTTGTTTGCTAATGAATTGTAATTACTATATTAAGGGGGTTCTCAAGAGGGTAAAAGGATAAAAGAGAATATAGTTAAGTTTTGCTGCAGCAGATATGTAGAGAATATTAGTTAAGGAAGAGCTGTAAATTAGTAGAGTAATAGTTTAATAAAATATTTGACAGCTTAAGTACAGACAATTAATTGATAAAAATAAAATACGGACAGTTACTGAGATGTCTACACGGTAAGAAATACATATTAAGCAAAATTAGTGTAAAAATAAGGTTGTTTTACGCAAATAAAACACCCAAGGAAGGAAAACTAGTAAAAACATATACATGGGCTAACTGCATTTTACACCCTATATGTTAGGGGTAATTTAAAAAAAAAAGTCATGAGATTTTAATTTTTTTACATTGCACATTGAGGTTTTTAAATTGTCTCAATTTATACTTTTTGACTCTTTGATTGTCTTTTTTTGTCAAGTCTCTTCGAATATCTATTCTCTCATTAAATTTTTTATGAATATTTTTTTTGTTGATA